AAACATCAAAGTTGTACATGACTGATTTCAAAATATATTTATATATATTCAAGCTCAGCTAGCTGTATCATCCAGTTTCTCTCCTAGTTTTCAAGAGAACAGAATTGAAAGAACAGTGAACTCCTACCACATGAACATTTAATAAGGAGCAGGCATGTTCAGGCAACTTAGAGACACCAGATAAGCTTTAAGACGTCCTCTAGAATTATGAGATAAATACAGTGCTTGATGAAGTATTGTCATTAAAATAACTACTATTTGAAAAAAACTCATAAATATTCATTTCAAATTATTTGAAGCCCAATGAAATACTGAACAGGATACACTAGATGGGGAAAAATGCCCGCTTAATATATAAATTTGGCAAGCAAAAATGTTCTAAATGCTGTAATAATATAATTCAATATAGAATTTTTGCCTACTCCTTGAATATGATATTAGATGTTTTGTTTGCTGCTGTTGTACTCATAGCTGAAGTGAAAAGTGAAAGTGTTGGTTGCTCAACTCTTTGCAACCCCATGGACTACAGCCCATCAGACTCCTCTCCATGGAATTCTCCAGGCAAGAATATTGGAAGTCATTTCCTTCTTCAGTGGATCTTCCGGACCCAGGGATCGAATCCAGGTTTCCTGTATTACAGGCAGATTCTTTACCATCTGAGCAACCAGGGAAGCCCTAACTGAAAGACTTGCTAAATGTCAGGTAGAGATTTGTGAAAATAAAGATGGAATAGTTTTTCCAATGTAGAAACTTAGTTAACTTATTGAGTTAATTTCATGACCTTTATTCTCTAATTTCTCTGTTTCTGCTATACACTACAAATTCATAATTTTTTACCAAAACTATGTTTTAATGAAACATTTCAGAAAAAGAAATTTGAAATTTTATAAAAAAAGAATTACCCCAATTATCACAGGGATTTCGCTTGCTAAATCACCAGCCACAAGATTGAGACAACCAAGAGTATGATAATTCTCAGTAGAAATAAAGCTGGACTTGATTTGTCCTTGTAACTGGAAGATTTAAAAAAATAAGAATGTTATATATATGCTCCATAGTCCAAACTCCTTGGAAAGATTGATAAAAATCAGTTAAATCAGCAGTTACAAATGTACCTTTTAATGGGAATGTCATTAAAATGTTTCTTCATGCTAATTCCCCAAAGTCAACCATTAGACAATTATGCAGAAACACTTTCTTAAACTGGCATTTAAGTTTTAACAAGACAGTGTGGTTTTGTCTTACCTTCTTAGCTGTATTGACGTCTGCCTTTTCAATCGCTGCATGAAAAAGAGAAAGTAGGCTAAATTTATACTATGACATAAAATACATAGGAGTCTCCCCTTTGGTGTCAACATGAAATTATATACAATCTAGTGAGAAGAACAACTGGTCAGAAATTAATAAAGTGCTAGTGACTTTTCAATTTTGCCCTTGACCAAAGAAATAAACTGTGATGACATGTTGTACTCAGGGCACCCGCCAGCATGTCTTACAATCCTTACAGTGCCTCTCCACACGTTCGCTCACCAAGGTTCTTCCTACTCAGAGAGTCTTCTCCCTGCTCCAACTCTCCTAGTCAAGCTCTGAAGGGCTACCTGTGATGTCTTCATCACTTTGCACTCCCTTTTGGAAAAGCTGTTTCACTTGTCCAGCTCCTCCATCAACCTTTAGAAAACTATGTATCTTAAATCTCCTCGTATCCCCAGGATCTGGCACATTCTTAGCACATGTATGCATGTGTGCTACATCGCTTCAGTTGGGTCCTACTCTTTATGACCTTTGTGATCCTATGGACTGTAGCCCACCAGGCTCCTCTGTCCATGGGATTCTCCAGGCTAACATACTGGAGTGGGTTGTCATGCCCTCCTCCAGGGGATCTTCCTGACCCAGGGATCAAACTATTATCTCCTATGTCTCCCGCACTGGCAGGCCGGTTCTTTACCACTAGCGTCACCTGAGAAGCCCTCTTAGCACACAGTAGATCTAAAAAAAAAATTGCTGAATACATACCTGGAATCAATTCCTCAATCTCGGCCAGTTCAGAGATTAAGATCCACACGATTCACTAACACACTCTAGATTACTGCTCTGTATTATTAACACACAATCATTTCAGTTTACAGGTTCATTCATTCCAGCAAAAAGCATTTATTACTATGCTAGCATATGCTAGCCCGTCTCTCTGACTAAGTTGTAAAGTCGTCGAAGGCTATAAATAAATATTTCTTCAGATTCTGTTGCAGCCCTAACTTGGAGAATACGTACATTACAAATACTCAACGTATACCCAGTATCAAAGAATGTAGTTACACTAAAATATTCTCAAAGAGAGTATATTAAAATTACTTGGAAAACTCATAAGAAATATTGCTGTGCGGCTTCCCTGGTGACGCAATGGTAAAGAATATGCCTGCCAATCCAGGAGACACAGGTTCAATCCCTGGTTTAGGAAGATCGCGCACACCGAGAAGCCACGAAGCCAGCGCACTGCAGCTGCTGAGCCTGCACTCTACAGCTCGGGAACCGCGACTACTGAAGCCCATGCGCCCTTAGAGCCCGTGTGCCACAGGAAAAGAAGCCACAACAATGAACAGCCTGCACATCACAACTGGAGAGCAGAACTCCTGAGCTCTGTACGTACAGAAAGCACATGCTCAGCAATGAAGACACAATAAACCAACAGTGTAACAGTGCCAACAAAAAATAAATAAAATTATTGATTAAAAAAAGAGCCCTTTGCTCAAAAAAAATTCGCTTCAAATCAGTAATAAGAAAATATTACATTACTTACCTTGTTGAATTTTTACAAGCTGAAGGTTCGTAATACAAAAAAGTCCATTGTTTGTAAGAAGCAGCATATAATAGGTATCTATTAAAATAAAATCAAGCCAGCTTCTTTAAAAGGCACATCAATATAAAATTTAAACCAGAGTCTGGATCTAGCTTAAAAATATGTTCATTTGCTCATTTAAAGTCTAATAACCAAATAATATAGTAGCAATACAGATAAAAGTTATTTATAAAGAGTTGGTAAATTATCTGCAAAAACAAAATTACTTCTTTGAAACTTATAAACCAAACTTCATTTACCAGAAAAAAATAATCTCAGCTACATCAAAATAAAGTCCAGTTAACATGTGTTAAAAAGAAGTATAATAAGTACACTAAAATCCATAAGAACATTTTTAAAGAATATTATGTATCCTTTTATCTATAGAACTCTTAAAACTGTAAAAAGTTTAGGATATATTATTTAAGAAGAGTTAACATTTAAGCCTCTGAAAAGATCTAAAATAAACTTATTTTTTAAAAAAATATTAATTGCACCCCAAAAGTTTAACTTTGTGTGTTAGTCACTCAGTCGTGTCCGACTCTTTGTGACCTCATGGACTGTAGCCCGCCAGGCTCCTCTGTCCATGGGGATTCTCCAGGCAAGAATACTGCAGTGGGCTGCCATTTCCTCCTCCAGGGGATCTTCCCAACCCAGGGATCGAACCCAGGTCTCCTGCATTGCAGGTGGGTTCTTTACCAACTGAGCCACCTAGCACAAATTAATTTACCTAATATATTAAGTACAAATCTGATTTTTTGACTGAACATTATTAAGAAGATATTAAAAAAGAAATTTAAAAACTTACCCTCATTTGAACTATCTTTCTCAATAACAAGATTCCGGTAAGTACACTGATTTTCATCGTTAGCTTTCTGAACAAAAGCCTAATTACAAATTAATATCAAGTGATAAGATTAAACCCAGAAAAATACAATCAAAGATTATTTTCTTTAAACTCGAGGGTCATCAATTATCATTAGCAATAATTCTACCTATATCCCAAACATTTTAGTCTTGAAATAGAAAACTATTATGGACAAGTATACAGTCTTCAAACTGTAATTTTTCAGCTTTGCACTTATGTCATATGCTTTGTGGATTAAAAAATGTTGCCTGCCATTTCAGCAAAGAATGCTGTGGCCACATCCAGCCATGAGGGAACTCAGGATGGATATGAACAGGCTGCCCACTGGCCAGCCCTCAGCCACGGCAGCTACTTCCAAGTGTACACCAAGGGGACTCTGGATGGGGAAGCACCTGACTCTGGCCCTGGAGAGTAAAGGTGCATATATCAAAGGAATGATTTGAGTGAGCCCACTCGTGCATCTTCCCATACACAGAAAACATTAAATTCATTAACCTGAGAAACCTGACTTTCTTTAGTTAACAGCACTCTTTTGATGTTCTGACTATATGGTCTGTCTTGCAAAACTCCTATATATCCTAGCTCCTCCCTTACTTCTTCAGAGCAGTCCCTCAGAGCTATCTTGAGAGACTGCCTCCCGGGCTTGAAGTTCTCAGAAAGTCCACCCAATAAAACATAATTCTCAACTTTTAGGTTATGCATTTTTTCAGTTTCTAAGCTATGATTCTTAAATTCAACGTTAAGAAACATTACTCTTTTAATTTAAAACACAAATCAAGCAATGCTTTGCTAGAGTTTTTAGCTAAGAGATAATTTAGAATTTAGATAATGGAGATGAAAAACATAACAAGGTAACAAGGTCTTACATTGGTGAGTAATGTTAGCTTTGATGTTACATGAATAAGATGTAAGTTGCCACTTCTCTCCCCAACCAAAAGAAACTTTCCTCCTTGACACAGGCCAACGACGTCCACTTCAGTATCTGAAAATTTCAAATCAAAGTTATGCCAAGCTTCCTCCAAAAATGTTTATTTTCAATACAAAGAATTGCAAATTTTGTTATTTAAAGTCAACTATTTGAGAAGCTTCTTTTAAATATTTCAGGAAAGTAGTGATTAATGTCAAAAGGAATGCTACTGACTCTTAGTCAATAAATATTTGCTGAGCACTGAATATAGGCTAAGCATTGTTCAAGGCCTTTTGTATATATCTGAGAATATTACCAAGAGTCCCAACTTCATGGAACTCAAATGCTAAGGCAGAAATAGATGATAAACAGTCAGCATAACATTCTAATTATATGACACAAACAAAGGTTATACAGAGGAGGGAAACAGAGCTCGGAAGAGCCATGTGGTATTAATTGGCGTGCTCAGGACAGCTGCCTTTGTTAAGGTTAGATCCGAACAAAAATTTGAAGGAGGTGAGAAAGCTTTTGTCTGCACAACAGAAAGAAGGCCAGTGGGAAGTGAAGACTGCAAGGGGAAGACTAAGACAAAAGGCAGTAGAACATAAATCATTTATAACTAAAATTAGTCACTAGCAATATCTGTACACAGAGTACTATATGTAGACAGTCTCACTTTCCATCGGTGAAACTGAATCCTGTGGCCCCCTCAGGGCAGATATGCTAAGATTCCACAAAATACGGATTTTCCTCCTACATGTTGAGATCAAGATTTTGTTCTCACGTGCATACCTTCTGATTCCTTTCCAGCTAAGTTCTGTTTTAAAATTAATCATTAATTTTCAGCTGTTCTCAAACACTTCAATTTCTCTCAAAATTTCAGAAAAAGTTTCCCAATATTTTCACCTATTTTCCAACAAAACCACTGACTTGTTTGACCCTTAGTTTACTGTTAAGTCCATATTTGCATATACATACTTAAAGCTCTTTAATGCAATAGGAATTCATTCATAAGCACTTTTTAAACATTTATAGTGCTAGAAGTATTCAAATATCTCCTGATGGTATTAAAATTATGCACAAGATCCAGGAACTTGAACATGCGTGTGTGCTAAGTTGCTTTAGTCGTGTCTGACTCTGTGACCTCATGGACTGTAGCCTGCCAGGCTTCTCTGTCCATGGGATTCTCCAGGCAGTACTGGAGTGGGTTGCCATGCCCTACTCCAGGGGATCTTCCTGACCCAGGGATCAAAACCATGTCTCCTGCATTACAGGCAGATTCTTTACCGCTAAGCCACCAGGGAAGCCCAGTTTTCTACTAACACAAATACCATACAAATCAACTGTTGCTCTCCTAGTATGCTTTTCCCTAGACTTATTGACAGAAAGGATCATCTCAGTATCCTTTCCACCTGATACTCAGCACACGGTACTCAAGATTCATTTCTTAAAATCGGTTTAATTTCAAGTCTTCTAAATAATGGAGTAAAGAAAAGGCAATGCTGTAGAAATTGGTAGCCAGATATAGTTGACTTCCAATTTGTTTACTGCATTACATTAGACTTACCAAATATAAGATGTAACTGAAGAGATCGACAAATACTGTCCAACAGTATCACCGATTGATCTGCCACAATAATAAACCCATCACTTAAGCTGCATGCTTGTATTTTTGGATTTAATGAGGCCTGGGGGAGGGAAAAATAAGACTAAAATAAAGCATTTTTATACACGCTTAACAATAGTTATCAATAGTGTCATCACAGTCCTAAGCACCCAAGTTTAAAACTTCACTTGACAGGCCTCTTTTCTTGAGCCCACATAACTGCTTAGTCAAGCTTTCCTTTTTTTTTTTTTAATGTTTATTTATTTATTTGGCTGCACCATGTCTTAGTTGTGGCACACAGGATCCTAGATCTTTTTGTGGCATTCAGGGTCTTTAGTTGTAGCATGCAAACTCTGAGTTGCAGCATATAGGATTTAGTTCCCTGACCAAGGATTGAACTGCATTGGGAACGTAGAGTCTCAGCCACTGGACCATCAGGGAAGCCCCAAGCTTTTCTTTCTATGATATATCTTGAATCCCATCAGAACCTGAAACAGGGAAATAGTCCAGGGTTGCTTCTGTTGTTGTTGCTCAGTCTTAAAGTCATGTCCAGGTCTTTGTGACCCTGTGGGCTGCAGCACGCCAGGCTCCTCTGTCTTCCGTAGCACCGGGCAAACGATTCCCAAGTACAAGCCTTTGTTTCCTAAGGGTCGACCTTACACTTGGAGAAACCAGCAGGTGTTAACACAAATGAATGAACCAATATTGGCATAAAGTCTCAGTGTCTGGGCTACAACAGGGAGGGGGGCTGTGGTGTATTGTGAAATGAAGGACACAAGGCCCTACAGAAACTAGAGTCAGCAAAATGAAAGCCCCATGGAAATGTGACCCTGGCATGGCGACAGCTTCCAATTTACCAAGAAAATCTGCATCTTTATGTGAAATATTCTAAATTTTAAATATTGGCAGCTCAGTCAACATTTTTTTTTTTTTTCAGTCAACATTTTAAAAAACACTGCAAGCCAAATGAGTCTCCAGTTTGCAGCTTCTGTTGATTAGAGCTTCCCACATATATGTACCTTAAAGCAGTTGGACAGCTCAGTGGTTGAGAATGCTGTCACTTACTAGCTAAGTTATCTCAGGCAAATGCCTCAACTCTCTAGTAAACCAGAAACAATAATAATAATGCCTACAACACTGGCTGGTTTGGAGAATCATGAATTAATTTATATAAAGGGCTTAGATCCTGATGCTGGAAAAGATCAAGGAGAGAAGTGGGTGACAGAGGATGAAATGGTTGGATGGCATCACTGACTCAATGGACACGAGTTTGAGCAAACTTGGGGAGACAGTGAAGGACAGGGAAGCCTGGCATGCTGCAGTCCATGGGGCTGCAAAGTGTCGGAGACGAGTGAGCCGCTGCACAACAGCACAGGGCTTGGAAGGGAACCTAGCCTGTAGCATATGCTCGTTAAATCGGTTCATATTATATCTGTTTCAGTGGCCACCTCCTGCAGGTGTAATTCTTGAAAACTACATTCTGATTCCTCTTATACTCTTAACCTCTTCAAACTGAAAAGTTATACCAAAGAAGAAACTGTGCTATACCTCCCAGGGTTCTAACCCAGGCTGTTTTCTCTGTCTGGATTGCGAACCTTGAGACATGTTTTTTTTTTTTTTTTTTTTGCCACACCATGCAACAGGATTTTAATTCCTCACCAGGGATCGAACCTGTGCCTGCTGCATTGGGAGTGTAAAGTCTTAACCACTGGACCACAAGGAAAGTCCATTTTCTTTTTGTAGTTTCCTAACTGAAAACTTAAGATTATTGACTTTAGATTTTTCTTCTTTTCTAATATATGCATGCAGTTTCCCTCTAAGAACTGATTTGGCTGCATTCCACATATTTTGGTTAAGTTGTGCTTTCATTTCCCCTTCTTTTTCTGAAGGCCCAAATCAGATGCTAGTTTATGAAATGCTCCTTAGATTGTCTCAACCCACAGTGAGCTCTCCATTCTCTGAACTCCTACTACATGTCCTGTCTGTACCATTCATCTGGTATTTGGCACACACTGACTTGCACAGCTAGGTATCTTTTATTTCTGTGTCCTATCTGTCTAACTTTAAGGAAAAATCCTAAAAAGAGTTGCCAAATGCAAGCATGGGTTGCGAACACAGCATTTGCTACAAGTAATGCCCCAAGCTAACAACTGATGAAATTTTAGTTCTTAACTGAACTCAAAGCTCAATACATACTATCCTTCTTCAACAGTAGCCCTCAAAGATCAAGAGGGGCCTGGGCCACTTCCATCTTTTAAGGCTGCTGGTAATAATAAAAAATAAAGAAATACCATTTTCTCATTATAGAACCTACAGTATTTTTTACACTCTTGCCTTTTAGAAATAAATACCAAGGACTAAAATTTATTTGTATTATTCATAATATTTATAAATTCCATATAAATTTGTGATTTACAAATGCCATAAAGCAGGACAGGCTGACAAGAGGACACAAGTTGCATAAAGAATGATTTTTTGAAAACCTCTATCAGCTAATGTCTTTAATGCTCCTTTGAAGAAAAAGTCAAAAGCCTACATTTTGAAACCTTTGATGAACAATGTTGCCAGAGACTCAGGCCCTCCCTTTCTAGCTCTAAAATCTACAAATCTTGTCTGGTCTTTCCTCCTTTTAAAACTTTTTTCCTTAATCAGCTAATTAAAACATTACATTAACTTATTATGAGAAGCAGAGGAATCCTGGGCTATAATACTGGGACAGAAGATCATTTGTACTTTCTCTAAAAGAAACCTTTGTTTACCACGATCACCAAAATTTTATCAAGAGCAAATTACTGAGAAAGAAAATCAAAGATAAAAAACGAACAGCAATACTTTCCATAGAAGGCAGAGAATAAGGTTTCAAGCCTGGTGTGAGAATGGTGGAGTAGTCATTAAAAGAAGAAAGTTAAAATATAGAGAGAAATTCATGGAAAGGATTGGACAATCTCAACCTCAGTGGTAGGAGTATGAGAAGAGCTTGGGATGAGGGAGGGACGCCAGGGACTTGCTTCAATTCTAGGTAATGTTTTACTTCCTAAGCTGGTGGTAGATATTCTTTGTATCATTTCTGCATACATCTGTATTTCTAAAATGCCAAGAGGAGCTATGAAAAGTTTAGGTTTGGAATATTGACCTTAAAATGACGTATGGGGAATTCAGATGGAAATTTCCAGTAATTTGACACTAAACTTGGAATCCCTGAGAAAGGACTATACTCATTTATAAAACAACCACCACATGGCTACTAGTCTTACTAAACACAGTAAAAATTTTGTGAATGAAAACAGCGACATAACCATTACCTTTTCAGAGGAGATCTTTGCTAGTAAATCTACTTGATATAAAGCGGTTCCGTGTTCTTTTCTTGAACCAACACTTAGGTATCCACTGCCTGTATCATCATTTGTTAGCAGTTCAATATCATTCCACATGTTTCTGAGATTGTTTTCCTGTTCAGGAATCACTGCCTTCCCTATGACAACTGTAAAATCAGACCAAATTACATTGTTGCATAGACTCCAGCTCCTTGGGAAATAAAAAGGCTTTATTAAATACATATATATGTATGTATATATATATACACACACACATACACATCAATAAACAGAGACTTCTCTGTGTTATTTCTGCAGTCACTAGACACTTTGGATCAATAAGATAAATGGAACTAGAACTATGACCATCACTAGAGAAGAACATACTGGTTTAGGGTCACAGGCAAACAATTTCAATCTTACCAACATGTCCTAGAGTTTCTAGTATTTTGTATACCTAGGTGAAATTATAACAAGCTTTCATTTGGAAAAAAAAAAACACTTTAACCAGAATAGCAAAAAAACAGTGAAGTTTCTGAATGCATATCGTCTGGGATACCTCAGGTTGGTTAAGGTTCCGGACGAACTTAAAAAACCATGTCCATTCATGTTTCCAGGACTGTTACACCATAAATGAAAATGTTAAGGAGAGGTGGGAAAAAAACGATTAGGCTTCTGACTGGACCAAAGAATGTGTTTGTAACCTTAGGAGTCACTTAACTATTTCATCAGCAAGGACTTAAATAACTCATTTCACTGGGTCTCCTGGGCATAGAATACTAAAATGAAAAGCAATGCTTGAATCAATACTGGAGGGGAAAATAACCAAATAGTTTCAGTTCTTTTGCTAACTGCTCAGAGATATTTTTTTAAATCTTTGACGGTAATAGTACAGGAAAGAAATGATTTTTGACTTAGGGCTATTTTAAATTAACCTGTTGTGGTCAAGCAAGTAATTTAACCCTTCTGTTCCTCAATTCTCTTCTATAAAATAGGAATACAGTTGTACATAGCCAGAAACGTCACTACCAGTTTCAAAGGTTCATGAATCAATGCTTGGTTTCATGGCAAGCGCTCCCTTTTAAGTGCAGCTAATCCACTACTGTATTGGTGGAAGAAGGTAACATTTGAGCTAGTATTTAAGGTTACAGGTGCTTTTTAAATATTGGAAGAGCTCTTACTAGGAGTGTAAGCAAGGGCCCGAAAACAAGGCATGTTAGAATAGACAATAATTCTAGTGGCTGTGTTTGGGCAAGAATTGGGAGGAGATTAAGACAGGCTGAAGTAAATACTTCTATTGAGTTTCAGAGTCCCACATCTGTAAGAACAGAGAAATATTATCAGCCTCCCAGGTATGGCACATTCATTTGACAAACGTTTACTGAATGCCTACTATGTGTCAGGCACTGTTCTAGGAGCTGGGAATACATCTGTGAAGAGGACAGAAAAGGTCTTTGTCATTATGAAATTCATATCCCATAGGAAAGACAGACAAAAATAAATGCGGTATTGACTAGGCAAGATACTTTGAATGTATTACTCATTTAATATGCACAACAGCCTATTTTACAGCTGAGAAGCATGAGTCAGGGACTAAGTAAATGGCCACGGTCACCTAAAATGAGTTAACGATGTCGCTAGACAAGATTCAAATTCATGCCAGTTATTAACTGTTATACTGCTTCCCTACGAAAAAATAAGTAAATGCACAACTACAAATAATGCTCAAGTGAATGGGGGGGGGGGTTGGGGGTGGCGCATAAGAAAAATCTGGGAGGGGAAAGAGATGACAACTGAACTGAGATCCAAATAACAAGACAAGGCAACTATGCAAGGCTCAAGGGGGACAAAGATGCAGGCCGAATATCAAAGATGCAGAGGGTGGAATGAGTTTGGGGCTGCTGTGGGGCCATATGAAAAATGGGAAACTGCGGGGGCTAAACCAACCGGTGGAACCAATGAATCCTTGATTACAAGACTGGCTTTCATCCTCAGTGCTAGGGTGGAAAAAATACTAAGTAGGCCAATGACGTGATGTGATTAAGTTTGAGATTACTCTGGGTGCTAAGTGAACACATAAACGAATTAAACGAAAGTTTCAAATAGGCCTCCTTGCTTAAGTGCTCTCAGCTAGACACGGACCAGAAAGAAACAACTCCAACCACTCTCCCACTGACGTCTCAAGGGGAAAACACCCCAAACTGAGCTAAGGTTTCTCCTGTTTCGACCTAAAGCCACCCTCCCCGCCCCCCCAGCTCCTACAGTAGCGTGGCTCCCCCTCCTCACCTGCAACTGAAGAAATTAAAGAACACTCAAATTTACCTCCCCCGCATCTGGGCTCCCACAACCGCTCCTAAGGTCTTTAGGGTCTTTGCCACAGGTTTAAATTGGCGGGAGAACACCAAGCCCAACCCCTTCTACGGCGACTAGGGGAGGCCAAGACTGCTCTAGAAGCGAAATAGGAAGTCGCCCCACCCTAAATTCCACCAGTTCTGATATCAGTGCTGAGCATTCTGTGGTACGTCCTTGGCCCCGCCCTCTCCCAGCCTTACGCGCTCCTTCAAAAGAACAACCAATCACCATCTAACCGCGTTGCTATAGAAACTCTTATCCCCACCCCCTTTCCTCCCAGCAAGCTGTGCTGTGCGCCGGGCCTTTTCCCCTTTGTGCCATCCGGGTCTCTGGCGCGAGCTATTCAGTCTGTGGCGAAGCGTCGAAGCGGCCAGTACTGTGGAAAGCGGCAAGTGGAGGCGCCGCCGTTGCGGCCAAGACTCTGGACTATGGCGGTGGGTGCCAAATTTGAGTTTAAAATCATGGATATTTTTCTGTTACTCTCCAAAGAAGGGATGAGCGGCTTCCAGGGCTGTTATCCGCGCTTGTGTGTGGACAAAATGGCGCCTTGGCCTTCTTCTGCGCCCGCCATCATGGCTGGCTGCTGTAGGGAGGGGGAAATAAGGCGCTGTTGTGGGGGTGGGGAGCAGCAGGGAGTGTCTTTTTTTTTTTCCAGAACTTTCCTGTCTTTTTCCCAGTTTTTTGTTCCTTTTGGCCCACAGGACTGACTGCAGTTTAGCTTACTCACTAGTTAGTGGGTTATATTGAATTTCGTTGAGGCTTGGGCATTTATGTTCGCAGTGGAGAGGGCTGGGGAAAAGAGAAAAGGGATCAGGGGTCGTCTCTGAAAAAGTATTGGGTCAGAAAGGCGGTGCCTGTAAGGGATCGAACTCGAAAAGAGAGCAGTCTAGGAGCGATCATTTTGCCTGCGCTCAATGAGACAATTCTAATCGCAAATTTTCAATTAGTGTTGCGTCTGCGCAAACCTTAGTTTATTCCTTAGTAAGCAGCTAGGGAACGAGTTTCTGGAAGGGAGTAGAAATTCGTTTTAATTAGGAGAAGACTTTGAAACTGCGAATTCGGACTGATGATGCTCCGTTTTGAAGTCTTTGAGAAACATAATCAAGCACTATCATTGGCGTTATTTTAAATTTGAGTCCTTCATTGGCCCGTTTAATTTTAAATGAAAATGCAGTTTTTCAATTAACCTCTAATGTAAAATAAGCCTACTTTGGATATAAGATACCCAATCCAGATGGATCGCATTATTGTGAGAATATTTCGTTTTGCTTTACCCGGTTAAAAGAAAAATGCAAACATTTTGTATCCTTTTCCACTGATTAAAAAGTTTTCTCGCTTTCGAAAATAAATAGGATTATTAAACATATTGAAAAACTGGTAGTTTACTCAGCCCAATCTTTGAAGTATCTGGCATTAGAAATCGTTAATCTGCCCCTCCCTGTTGCCCCTTTCCTAGTCGATTTGATTTAGAACTGGATTTTTTGGTAACTGGTTTAGAACCACTTTCAAACAGTCGGCAGGCTATTTGGTATTTGTGCAAAGAATCGATTTAGTGTTTTCTTTTGTTGAAATAGTGACTTGGAAGAATATTGTTTTACCTGAGCTCACATATTTAAAAAACATTTGTTTCTTCAGTGCCTTGTTCCATAGAAAGACACGATCCCCTGGAGATGTAGCCTAGTATTAAGTCCAGTGTGCTTCTCTTGGCACTGGGAAAAGAGTCCTATATTGTGTCTTGAGTGTCATTGAGGTTTTAAAGAAGATGTAAATTTTTAAAAACCATGATGTTTTTCTAAAAGAGCAAATGCTAGAGTGAAGGGCATTTTTGCAGTTAGCATATGGAGATTTACATACAGGTACTTACTAAATTGAAATCTTAACTACTGTAAAATATCCTAAAGGACATAAAAGCTTAGGGTGGTCTAAGTGGCCACTTATTATTCATCTGTTTAGTGATGGGATGGTTTTTGTTGGCATCTTGTATATATTTTACAGATGAAAATGGCTGTTTGATATGTTATTACTCCATGTTACAGAGTGCCTTCCTTTAAGTCAAGGACATTTGGCTTCCCTATTGCTGGACTTCCTTAATATTAAGCATGTAGTTAAATAAACCATTGACTGAAAACTTAGGACCTGGGCTAGATGCTGGCATTTCCATGGAAAGATTTTTAACTAGTCATGATATCTGTAGAAGTGAGTGAGATGTGCCAGTGGTTTCAGGTATGCTGTCTCAGTTGGACAGAAAAGTGGTGTGCACTGAGAGAAGAGATAGCAGTGCCTTAAGTTTTTCTGTTGCTTTATTTTATATTCAGTGTAACTTGACCAGCACATCGCACATCATAAACCTGTTAGAAACAATCCTTAAGAATAGTGATGAGGACAAGAAGAAAAGAAAATAACCAGTGTTAGTGTGACTATTAGAATCCTCTTTTGTTTGATAAGAGTATCATATATTAGTAGTAGACAGGAGATAGAGTACCTTCTTTGGTGAGTCAGCTAATATTGCTGAATCCCATCTGTGGATTGAAAGTTGAGTCTGATTCTAAGGGATGAGAGCCTTTCTGCACAAAAGTTTTCTGACTCCAGATACGACCCATACATAAAGAAACAAGTATGCTCGAATGAGCCTCCCCAGTAGTTATATGCTTCCACTTGTTTCTTGTTTTTTGATAATATTGTTAGACGCTTAACACATAATATGTCTTTCATCCTAACCCAGTCTGTAAATCCCTCCCTTTAAATTTATTAGTTTATTCCCGAAG